ATCCAGCTTCTGCTGACAGAAAAAAAAATCTTTGAAAAAGATAATAAAATATGTCCTGTGTTAGTCGTAGCCTCTTTCTTCCCTTCAACAATATTCCTATTCTCTTATTCCTGCTCTGCAGGCTACCTCTCCTGCTGTCGATTCCTGGATGACAATAACATTGTCACTAGCTCTGGGGACACCACCTGGTGAGTACATCTGTCCACTCATATGTGAGCTGGCCAACAGGCAACCATATGGGTACTCTACCAGGGAAAGATGTTGGCTCCTGTTTGTTTGTTTGTTTGTTTGTTTTTATTTCAGCACTGCCTAACTCAGTTGACTGCTCTTGTGCCCCAATCTAGTTTTAATACTCTTTAGCCTATCCCACCCTTCTCCCAAATTGAAGATCTTCAGATGTGCTCTACTCCCATCATCCTCAGCCAGGATGAGAAGGCCAGTCTGGGTTAGAGGAGGCAGCATCTACTGGGATAAGGAGAACCAGATGTCAGCATTTGATCCAGAACGTTAGGGTTTAACCAGACTCTGCTGGTGACGATGGGCTACAACGACTTCCTTGCCTCACCCATACTCTTCTTTTGAAGAGTATTCTAGCAACTGCGGTTTATTTTTTTTTTAAGTGTCATTTGCACACTCACTGCATGATGTCATCTCTATTTGGCCCTAAGGGATTCAATGGGAACAGCTGGTTTCATCAAGCTATGCAAACTCTCCCACTGCTACTTCCCTCTTACATCATCCCCTAGAACCGTGTTTCTCAACCTCAGCAACTTTAAGATATGTGGACTGGAGAATTCTGGGAGTTATCTGAAGTCCACATAAACTAAAGTTGCCAAGGCTGAGAAACACTGCCCTAGAAGGGTCTGCCAAACATAGAAACCCAACCCAGGCCCTGTGTTGTGAAAATCACTGAGGAGAAAGGTCTGCTGTGCTTTGCTGCATGAACAGGAAAAACTGGTGAAGAATGTTTAGCTCTGCTAGCTTCCACAGTCTTGTTGGGTTATTCTGCCTCTCAGTTGCTCACTCCCATTTGGTGCTGTCTGTGGGGTCTCAGACATCAACCCTGGTTCCATTATGTTGGTCTTCCAATGGTGGAGGAAGCCATTAAGAGATCTTTGCCTGCATTTGACCAAACCACATAATGAGAGGACAGTTAGGAGGCTGTTCTCCTAATTGTCCTCTCATTATGCAGTACTTTTTTTCCCCTGCATTCATAACAATTTCTTTATTAGATTATCTTTGAATGTAGCTGCCTAAATCTGTTAGTATTCCAAGCCTGTACTAGATGGGAAGATGATCAAACTAGCTTCCCACTGCAGTCTTCTTCTTCGCCTTACAGCATCCTCTGGGATATTGAAACAGGCCAGGCGAAGACCACATTCATAGGACACACTGGTGACTGCATGAGCCTGGCCGTCTCTCCAGACTTCAAGCTTTTCATTTCGGGAGCCTGCGATGCCACAGCCAAGCTGTGGGACCTCCGAGAAGGAACTTGCCGCCAGACATTTATAGGACATGAATCAGATATCAATGCCATTTCAGTAGGTTTCTGAAGCCATTCCTGGAACTGAGGGTGGAAGGTGGAAGTGGGCTGGAATGAAGGACCCTGAAACAGTGACAAAGGTTAGGGCAGAAATAATCTGCAGAAGAGAAGCAAATGATTTCTCTCTCTCTCTGTGCCTAGTTCTTCCCCAATGGGGATGCCATCTGCACTGGTTCTGATGATGCCTCTTGCCGCCTCTTTGACCTTCGGGCAGACCAAGAGCTAGTCACCTACGCTCACGAGAGCATTATTTGTGGAATTACCTCAGTCGCTTTCTCCCGCAGCGGGCGCCTCCTCCTGGCTGGATATGATGATTTTAATTGCAATATCTGGGATACTCTGAAAGCAGAGCGTGTGGGTGAGTTACAGCTACGGTTCTGAGGGTTTTCCTCTGACTTTTTATACGTTCACAGAAAAATGTGTACGGAGTAATGCATACCCCTTTGGGGGAAGATTTGCTGTGGTTTTTTTTAATCACAAAATGATATCGTCTAAAAATAGAAGAATGAGAGACTAAGCAAAATCAAACGTAACAGTTTCACTTATTCCAACATCAAAGTGTTCTTTTTTCCCGATCATTCTTTGCCCTTCAAGGCTGTGAAGTAGCACAGCTCAGTTCTACTCAGTTGTGGAGAATGGTGTGGGCATGGAGGCTGCATATTGCTCCTTTCTCACATCAGGAATGCAACACAAGTTACACACCACTGCAGACGGATTATGTCTTCACACATCCCCTCTCTGTACAGAGCCTTTGCTCTAGATAACTGTGCCATCAGAGGTCAGGTGAATGGCAGGTAAGAGCCACCTGTGCTTCCCAAAATTTTGAACTCTGCCCCAAGAGTTCTGCTAGGGTCAGGCAAAATGACTTTCCTGCAGACTAATCCACTGCCTCTCCAAAAATTGAGGATCTTTCTCTTTTTGTCACATTAATTCTTAGGGCTTTTTGATTTTCTGTTTTAAACATTACATTATCCATTTCAATCACCATAGCAGATCATGAACAAAGATTCCTATTATGGTTGGTCACACAGTCAGCCAGATGTTTAGACTGGATTTGGCATTTTTATCCAC